AGGACATAGAATAACAGAACTGGAAGGAACAAATGGGGGCAATCCTCACTTAACAACTGTCTCACTCAGCAACAGAAATGGCACTTTGTTTTCATTTAAAGAGCTGGTAGGTTGCCCTTTATAGAAACTATAAGCAGATTATCTCCACTAGATTTTGGACTTAAGGAGAAAGAGAGTCGCTGCAGAAATCACTGCAAGTCGTATGTAGAAATGATTTGTAATCTTAGCAAAGAATTGGGGAAAAAATTTTCCTGCGATCAATAGGATTTCATTTCATACGTTTTAGTCTTTCCACTTTTAAAACTTTCATGGGGTATTAAAACAGTATTTTAGTGCTTAAGTATTAAATTCATTAAGACATTATAAAGTTATAGTGCATGATCAAATTAGGCAAACCGCTTCAGATATTTAAAAGTATATAGCATATTAACTGATTTTTCTTCTTCTTATGGTCTTAATATCAGCATCCATTTTCACTGACTGTCAAATTCTAGAAAGCCTTTTCTGCATTTTTATTTTAAGATCTACAATTTTAGTGAAATCATTTCCAACGAAAAGTTGGAAATCCAGACTTTTTTTTTTTTTCCACAGTACCAGAAATGACTCAGAACAACTGTGTGTGAGCTGGGCAGCCACATAAACCTATTTCATGAATAAAGAACATAAAAATTCTTGGTGCGTTTTGTTTCTGCTCCCTTCGCTTCTTACCTTAAAGAGTTGCTCTTGGCTGATGGGGGCCATTGAGACTAAACGCCCTGCTTGTTAAAGCAAAGGGTGCCTGTGTCAACTTCACTCCATGTCCAGGGATCAACCTTCCCCTGCTAAGCTGGGCGGGTCATTTCATCGCCATGTGATAAGCTGCAAAGGAGAGAGACATGGCATGAACCCAGTTGATTCTAGAGGCCCCTGCAGTGGACTTTGGCCCTGGACATTTGTCCCACTGCCCCAAAGCCCCACGGATTGAGTTTGCTTCTTCTTGGACACCTAAAGAAGGAGGTGGAAGTTTTGGCACAAAGTTGAAAAGATTCAGGGAAGAGAAAGGAAGAGAAAAGAAAGGGGAAAGGAAGGAGGGAGGGAGGGAGGGAGGGAGGGAGGGAAGGAAGGAAGGAAGGAAGGAAGGAAGGGAGGAAGGGAGGAGGGAGGGAGGAGAGGGAAGGAGAGGAGAGAATAGAATCCTATCCTATCCTCATTATACAATATTAAAATACAGCTCAACAAACGTTGGGATGGTCAATTTCTGATCATGTGCTGAATGTTCATCACACACCTTTCATGATTTTCTTGGTCTGTTTTTAATTACAAGTTTTTTTTATCCTGACTTTATTACTTTATAAGTAACTCAAGGCGGCAACACAGCGGGGTGTTTAAATTAATAACAGGACTGTTAAACGAATCTGGCTTCCCCATTGACTTTGCTTGTCAAAAGATCGAAAAAGCGAACCATTTGACACTGGGACACTGCATAAGTCACTCTTAAGTGGTGACTAAATGAATGGTTGTAATTCCAGGACCACCTGTGTGACAGCAAAGGTGGTTTAGGAGTGGAACCCTGGTTTCATTACCGCAGATTTTAAATATCCTTGAACGCCCCGCTGGTTTTAAGGGTGTTCATTTCCTTGTTCCACAGGTTGCAAAATACAATTTGAAGGTTGCAGGGATCTTGCAGAGTGATTTATGGCCTTTAAACCTGCTCAGGTTCTGGATTAGCCCCTTAATTCCACTCCAGGGTCCACACAATGTGCTCATCCAGAAGTCAAAGCTTGGTTTTCTTGTCTCACCAAGACCCAATGAGTTTGCTGCAGTTTAGCCTAGGGGCTTTTCTTTCTCAATCCTGGATGCTTTTTAAGGTGCGTGGACGTCAACTCCCAGAATTCCACAGCCAGCCATGTGTAACCCAATTGTTTCCCAGCGTGCATAAAAAAACATGCTGAGCGTGTATTTATTCCGAATATTCAGCCAGATAGGTCTAAAGGTTAAGGCATCAGGCTAGAAAACTGGGAGACGGTGAATTTTAGCCCTAATTTAGGCACACAAGTCGACTGGGTGACATTGAGCCAATCACCAAGAGGCGGTGAGTTCTACCTAGTACTCCACCTATTTTCCCCACAACAACAATCCTGTGAGGTGGGCAGGGCTGAGAGAGAGGGACTGGCCCAAAGTCACCCAGCTGACTTTCATGCCTAAGGCAGAGCTAGAACTCACCCCTCCTTGTAATTGGCCCAGTCACCCAGCCAAGACTTAAGGCTGGACTAGAACTCACCCCCACCTAGTGATTGACTCAAAAGTCTCCAATTGGCTTTCATGCCTAAGGTGGTGCTAGAACTCACCATGTCCTGGTGACTGGCTCAAAGTCAACCAGCCTGGTTTCAGGCCTTAAAGTAGGACCAGAACTCATAGTCTCCCGGTTTCAAGTTTGGTGCCTTAACCACTAGACTGGCTCTCATCCCTCTTATTTTTTTTTTTTTAAAGAGGAGGGGGCAGAGCTTTTGTTCTCCTTGGAATTTCCTTCAGACTGCCTGAAAACTAAATTTAAACTTCCCCTCCCACCATTTAGATGCAAGGAGCTCCGGAGAAGCCGACCTGGGCTTCAAAAGATTTCCCCCGTTCCTTGGACCTCTCCTAAATTTAGGACAACAATCTCGCCCTCCCAGTAAGCTTTCAAGCCCAGGAAAGCCACTTATAATCCCTACTTGGCTGGCGAGGATGAAAGCTGGAGTGCATCACCCGAGGGCCAGCCTCGGCCGCTTCCCAGGCAGTTATCTTCCTGCCGGGATTCCCCAAGAGGCCCCAGATCTTGAACGAGACAAAACCGATTTAACTCTTGACCTCATCCGTTTCTCCGAAGCACAGTTACCTGAAGAGCATCTCTGGGGAAAGGCGGTATGACTGACCGGTCACCTGGCTGAGGATCTTCCAGGCAGCTGGAAGTGAAAACGAGAAGGCAAAAAAGAAGAGGGCAGAACCAGTGAGGAGACGGGAGAACCTGGGACTTGTTTCCCTACATTCCGGAGAGACGGAGAAAGGGCGGAGCGTGGGAAAGTTGCTGGGCCAGTTTTCTCTCTGTGTGTGTCTGTCTGTCTCTCTGTCTCCCTCTGTGTGTGTGTCTGTCTGTGTGTCTCTCTCACTCTCTTTCTGGCTCTCAATCTGTCTCCCTGTCTCTCTCTCTGTGTCTGTCTCCCTCTGTGTGTGTGTGTGTGTGTCTGTCTGTCTGTCTGTGTCTGTCTCTCTCTCTCTCTTTCTGGCTCTCACTCAGTCTGTCTCCCTCTGTCTTCTCTGTCTCTCTCTCTCTGTGTCTCTCTCTCTGTGTATCTGTCTCTCTCTCAATCACTGTTTCCCTGACTCTCTCTCTGTGTGCGTGTCTGTCTCTGTCTCCCTCTCTCTCTCTCTGACTCTCTTTCTGGCTCTCCGTCTCCCTCTGTGTGTGTGTGCGCGCCTGTCTCTCTCTGTGTGTCTCTCTCTGTCTCCCTGACTCCCCCCCCTCTCTCTCTGGTTAACAACTTTTCTGTTGTTCTTTTTTTGACTCTCTCCTAGTCAGTCTCCCCAAGGTAGTGCAAACAGAGTTGTGCATGCAAACGCTGCTTTCATTATAAGGCTACAGTTGCAGAAGCCTGCAAGCCGGAATGCGCTTCTCCCTCGCCCTGCCTTTTAGAGACTAGGGAGGGTCTTGTCTGAGACGCTTCTTCGGGTTACGGCTTTGGCTCAGGCCCAAGATTTCTCTTCTCTGACAGCCGTCCCGCTTGTGGGCTCTTCCTCCTGTTCTCCCAAAATTATTCCTTCTGACCATGATAAGACATACGGATGGTCGGATAATAGGTAATAAGATTGGTAGATAGCAGAGGTGGGTATTCAGCAGGTTCTGACCGGTTCTGAAGAACCGGTAGCAGAAATTTTGAGTAGTTCGGAGAACCGGCCAATCCCACCTCTGGCTGGAGATTTTACAGTCTCCTCCTGCCACGTCCCCAGAACCGGTAGTAAAAAAAAATTGAATCCCACCACTGGTAGATAGGTAGAGAATAGGTTGATGACAGATAGTAGAGACAAAAGCAGAGAGCATTTGTCTGAAATAGTATAGGGTTCAAGTGGATTTGGAGACCCCTGGTCTAAGCCAAAGTTAGCTAAGGTACATCATGGCTTGCAATGGTTGTAAGTGTGGAAAATGGTCATAAGTCCCTTTTTCTCAGTGCTGTCGTAACTTCAGTCACTAAATGAATCCAAGGACTTATTCATTTAAATGAATCCACGGAGGAGTACCGATACTACAAGAAGGCCAGGGAACTCTGTGCGGCCCCCACCCCATTTTTTTTCTAGGATCATGATTTAAAGCAGACCAAAGACCCGTCGTTTCGTAAGGATTTCCAAGAGTAGCTTTATTTTAAACGTGAACGGTGCCGGAGCCTGGATAACATCGCTTTGGGCGTTGGTAGCACTGCCAGCCTGCAGAAATCCTTCCTGATACGGCGGACGGAGGCAGCAAGGAAGCTTGCAATAATGGCTCTGTCCCCACTGGCTGCTGAAAAAGGGGGAGAAGGGGGGAAAAAGAAGGGGAGGGGGTCCCCTCCACCTCTCAGGGATTGGCCAAGCCGACCTGCCAGCAGCAGAGGTACCCCAAGAGATGGCAACCAGCTCTGGATGCTCTACCCTTCTTCACACACCTGAGCTATGCAATTCATTTCCAACGGAACGGAGTAACTCTCTTCCAGATGCAATACTTCAGTTTTAAGGTATATTAAAGCTTTGTTCGGGTATTTTCCCACGTCATTACAGTTGTGCTTTTAAAGTTGTAGCAACGTTTCGGCAGAATCTCATCTGCCATCATCAGGCTTCTGTATTGTGTTCGTCTGGAACACAACGCAGATGAACACAACACAGAAGCCTGATGATGGCAGATGAGATTCTGCCGAAACGTTGCTACAACTTTCAAAGCACAACTATAACGACGTGGGAAAATACCCGAACAAAGCTGAATACCATACATGTAAGTACCCACGAAAACTTATATATATATATATAGGAATTGCACATTCAGTAAGTCCCAGTTCTTCTGGATAGGGTGAGACTATGACTCCAACCGTGGGAACTTAATTCCTTGTTCACCTGGCAGGTGGAATTTTCCAGTTAGAAATCTAGAAAGTTTAGGCCACATGTAGGAAGAGGGAGTTTGTCAAAAAAATAATAATTTTTTGCTAGGACAGACGTGCTGGACAATAGTGCAAATTCGACTCCTTCTTCGCTTCCTCGCAAAGAAATGCATTCCGCCTCACCCCCCCTTACAACCAACCCCCTTTCTCCCCAACCGTTGCCACAACTTTTTAAGACTTGGTGCTGCGTCGAGCCGATCACGGAGGCAAAATTCCTGTCCCCAAGGCTTCCAAGACGAAAACAGCGAAAAACAGACCAGCTGTTATTTTAAAAGAAAAATCGCAAAGGGAACAGGGAACGTTGACGGAGCCTTAAAATCTCCGGGAAAGATGCTGGTATAAGCAGGATAAAAGATAAAAGAAAGACATGAAGGGTTCCGGTTTAGTGTTTTGATCGTCCCCTCCGACGGGCATTTCTCAACTTGTAACCGTGTCTTAAGTCTTATAAGGAATGTCAAAGGCCAGCTTAAAAATTTACAACTCCCTCTGCCCACCTGGCATTGAATGCTTTTATAATTGCAAAGACATTTTTTTTCTTTAACGGAAAAATACAGACTGGCCTCCTTCCACGTGGAAATCCTTTCGATCTCACACTCTGGAGAGATTTCTGTCAGAACCAAAGCCATCAAGATTTGGGGAAATCTCAGATTTGGTGTGTGTGTGGGGGGGGGGGGGAAACTCCAGGACGGAGGGGGCTTAAGTCAGACTTTTGTAAATAGGACTCTAAAGTGAAGTACAATTTTAAAAAAACAAACAAAATGCCACCGTGGTGGTGGTGATGGGGGAAAGAAATAATAAAGGCTGGACCTTCCCCGATCCATTTCTTGGAGAGGGTCCTTGCTGGGAAGCCAGAACTGAACTTGGTTCAAGGTGTGGCTGGAGAGCTGGACGCCCTTCTCCCCTCCGGACGGGGTGCGGCGTTCAAGGATGGGTCCCAACCAGACGAAACAGCAGCAGCAGCAGCATCAGTCTCTCTGCCCCGACGCCCAGTTCCTCCCAACGCGCCATCCCCCAGAGTCTCCTTGCTAGCAAGCTGGGAGGAACACTTCCCACTTCCGGCCTGCGCGGAGAGCCAATTATCCCTTCCGCGGAGTCTGTTCTGCTTTCTCCTCTCCTTCCTGAAGGCAGGGGACGTTTTCCCAGCCGCTCCCGATCCTTTGGGGCTGTCGGTCCGGGAGCCACGCCCCGCTCGGGGTGAGGGTTTCCAGAGTACGGGGGGGGGGGGGGCAGGGGAAGTGGGGTGAGCCTAGGGTCCCCCTGCACCACCGCCACTCCTGGGGGTCGGAGACAGGGGGAAAACGGGCGAGCTTGCGAGCTCCCCAGGTCAGCGGCATGGCCTTCGTCCGGCGACGGGGGGGGCGGGGAGGGGGGGTCAAGCTTGTTCTTTGTCCGCCCTCCAAAGCCGCTCCTTGACCTCCAAGGGCAGGGTGTTGAAGAGGTCCTCTTCCACCACCAGCCCGCTGCGCTTCAGCAAGGGGCAGTCGCCCAGCTCCACCGGCAGGCACTCTAGGCGGTTGCCTCGCAGTTCGATCTGAGACAGGCTGGCCAGCTCGCCCACCCGGGACGGCAGCGACTGCAGGACGTTGTTGCCCAGGTGTAACGTCCGTAGTTTCCGGCACTGGAACAGCTCGGCGGGGAGAGCTTCGATCTGGGAGGAGGAGGAGGAGGAGGAGGAGGAGGAGG